ACACCATGCTTTAATTCGAATTGAACTATGAATAGGAAGAGTATGTATGGACATTCGACAACAGGGATTAGATACATGCTTGGTTGTTTAAATTGTTCTTCTATGCTTAATGGGTTCCTAATGCTTAATTTTAGGTTAGACAACAAATGATCAAATTAGGGAATTAGGAACACAAGGTTATGACCACACACCATGGCTTAATCATACTTTAGCTAGAATCAATCCATTAATCTAAATTGAACTTGGGAACTTATTTGCTTGAGTTACTTTCTTATTTTCTTCCTTCTTTCATGTTCTTTGTTTTTGTTTCTGTTTTGTGTAGGGAAACTGAATTGGATCATTCAATCACCAATCCCTGTGGAATCCACCTCGCACTTACATATGCTATACTACCAAACGGCTCGTGCACTTGCGAGTATCACAAGTTGAGGATGCAGTTGAACCCATTTTGGTGCAGCTGTATCTACACAACAAGAATCTAATGAAGTTGCCAATTAACCTTGGCTCCATGGAGTTGATTAGCCACCCTTTCACGATTGCATTTTCTGTTCGCCATCGGTTGAATGTCGAGTCCGTCTGAGAAGGTGCTGGGAGTTCACCAGTGAGATATCCCAGCTTATCCTTGCCAGCAACATACATCTCAATAACTTGAGACCATAAGGCATAGTTGGAGCCATCCAACTTAATGCCAATTTGTGCAGGAGAGGTTTCGTAGGTAATAGTCGGGGTCGGGGTCGGGGTCGTATTCGATGTTGATGCTTGTATCTTCATCAACTCAGCCATTTGAGCAGCAAATTCGGTGAAAGTAGTAGGATCGGTGGTGCTACTTTCAACATGGGAAAAATCATCTTCTCCCATGATGGAAACAACAATTCAAGACTAGAGTCAGCAAGATCGCTGCTCTGATACCATGTCAAAACATAGAGAATATTGAGAGAAGAAAGTGGAAAGAGTAGAGAGAATGAGAGTTGTTGAATATTTTCTGATTTTCACTTATGTTCATTACTTACAATCAACACATATATATACAAGTTCCTAAGACATTAGTCAAGCCCCCCAAGTTAGGCAACCAACCAAGTTAGGCAACCAAACTAATTAGGCAACCAAACTAGTCAAGCCCCCCAAATATTGTAGGTGCCAAACATAGTAGGTGCCAAACATTAATTGACTATTACTAGCCACATTAATTGACTACTAGACAACATAATTAACATAGACAAATTCAACATATGACAACTTCTAACACCGGAGACCACTTTCTCACTGCTCTCCGTTTCAACACGAAAAATTTAGACCCAGTACTGTCAGTAAAAGCCACCGGCCTAAGTTAGCCCAAGTTTTGTATATTAGTTAGTTACTGAAATTGTGGTTAAAAGTGAAAAATATGATGAACCAAATGTTGACTAAACAAAATGGTAAAGGATTATTTGGTATTGGTGTTTGGAAGTCGTAATTAGGCTCGTTACCACACTTATGGCTCCCTAAAGGCCTTATTTATAGTGCATAAGTCCTAGGGTTACATGGTTAAGAAAATATAATCAAAATAGAAACCTTAACTAAGTAGGAATTGGACTAGGAATCCAAAAACAATAAGTAACCCCAAAAAAGGGAAACAATTAGTTGATAATCATTATTTATGAGTGCTTTTCAGTTACTGTAGATAAGTATCTGGTACTGGCCAATCACTCACCAAACCAAAAAAGTACCGTGTTTTTCAGACTAAGCCACCGTCCTGAGTTAACCCGAGTTTTGTATGTAGTTAATTATACTACAATTGTGGTAAAAGTGAAAACTATAATGAACAAAATGTTGACTAAACCAATAGGAAGATTTTCGTAGTCGGTACCAATTTACGGTAACAGAAAGTTAATTAATAATCAAATAATATATATTGGTAAATGATTTTCTCACTCCCCTTTTATCCACCTACACTCCTTTTTGTTTAGAAAAATAGAGTATAAGTGGATAAAAAGGGAGTGGGAAAATCAGTCCCCTATATATTTTGTCGGTGATCTTCGGTTACTGTAAATTAGTATTCCTACTGAAAAATATTGTGTTTAACTTGCATGAGGGAGCAATTACTCCAAACCACTACACTAGTGGGTCTTTGTAGAATCCATCCTTTTAATGGAAGGGAATATGGTTCTTTCATAATTAATTCTCATGAACAGCGAGGTATATAGCCATTTATAGCTCGTTAGATATTATCTATGTCAACTTGCTTCTTTTTTGTGATGGTGGTATCAAAATATCGAGACATAGTGTTAGGCACTGGTTGGCCTTACCTACGCGTGGGCCTGCTAATTCTGCCCTACGTTCGTCTTAGCTTAATAATTTAGAGATAAGAAAAGGTGTAATAACACGTAATCTAGTTTATGACCAAAAAAAAAACACGTAATCTAGTGTTCGGGTTTCCTAATTCTATAGTAATTCTATTGTAATCCAAATTTAACTATATATAATTCACCTTTTGATACATAAGAGCTTAGGGCCATGCAGTTTACACAGAGGCTTAGGTGGTGCTCGTCACCTTATGCATGCTTTATATATGGACATTGAAGGATGCATTTTTACTTCCTGCAAATCACAGTTTGACATATATGCAAAAATAATTCATGAAAAACACGAAAAGAACAATCTCTACAGACATGTCAAACCGTGATTAACAAGAAAATAGGAATTCCTACTTCTAGAGAAGACGACAAGTATTTTCCTTTATATATATCTTCAAGATTCCCAAAATAGAATATATCTCAAGTAATTAACTGGTTGATATTGATATAGGTAACTTATAAGCGAGAATATATAATGCTGGGAGGGTACTGAAATGAAGAACCAGTGAAGCACAAGATTTGACCACCCCACTAGGAAAAAGGTTAAATTGATTGCAAATAAAAGACAGCTAGGAGGAAGTCTACAGGAAGCCAACTTCAAAATGAGGTTTTTCTTGTGTAAGATAGATTCAACATGGTTGCACAGTTTGGAATCTTTAGTTCAATCAAATATCTTGATCGACTATTCAGTCTGTAAATTTTTGAGTTTTTGAATATATCCAAACAATCTGTGGTCTGCAGGAGCTAGCCAACAGAGAACATATTGAGCTGGAGATAATGATTTGATGTCATGTCAGTGCTTCATTTGCCAAATTATCTGAAATTTTGTTTGCTTGATTGCTGATGACCGATGATGACTACTGCTAGTCTAAAATATTAAAATGGTTACGGAACCTGATTAAGATTGGGAATATATGTAGACATTAATATATTTATGAATTTCCCTTTGTTTAAGTCCAAATAATAGCACTTAATGTGCAAATTTGGGTTGATACCTATCCCAACTTTTCCACTTGATGATAGCAACATATACATGACCAATATATAGAGAGAAATTCTCCTGTACAAACAACTAAACGTTATGAATTACTTTTTGGAAGACGTGTATTTTTTATTATCCCTCATTACTTTTCTCCTTGTTTACTATGACATCCACACGGTAATAACGTGGGAATATCCGAATAAGAGAATAACTAGAGAGAGAGAATATTAAAGCCTGGCATGTGCAAAATTAAATTATTCACAAAAATTCAGTCACAATCTTAAACTATATGCAAATTTAAATGAAAAATATGTAAAAGTAGGGGAGCTAGCTCAAAAAGTCACAGTGTGAACTTGGCTTTGAGTTTGATTCTGCATCATGATGTACAGAAGATTTCTTGAAAATAGGGCACAGAATTGTTTGTGGAAAAGGTTCTAAGCAGCAGTTTTATGGATTTTTATTTTATTTTAATTAAAGATATGAGATTTTCTTAATCCAAAAAAAAACTGACATCAGTCAAAGGTCTTCTAGGGACAGCTGAATTGCTGAAATGTTTGAATATTTTTAGAATTTCTGTTTGGAAGGTAGAGAATAAAAACCTTCTTTATCTGCAAAAGCACTGTTGATATAAGTGCTTGCTTCACTCTCAACTAAAGCGCTTTTGAAGTACCTACCAAATACCAATGAAATGGTATGATTTTAATGTCAGGTGGGATTGAACTCAATCTTCGCTGTAAAAAATGTATTTTCTTCTCTCTCTCTTTTTTTTTCTTTCCCTTTTTGTACAAAATGGTAGTTTCTTTAATCTAATTAAATTAAAGTTTATTCCTTTAAGCTTTGCTTTCCAAGGCCACGTGCATAAGAATAAACCATTATAACATTTGAACCTTCTTCATCTTAAAGTTTGGGTACGTGGACTAATAGATGATTAACAACAACTAATTTTAAATTGTTAGCCTTCAAAACCTTTGGAGAAGCTTTAGACGACAATGATGATTAAATAATTTAAATTACAAGGATTAGGTGGTTTCTCTCTAGAAAATTTTGTGTCCAAATCTCCAAGGAAATATATCTTCTGGCAAGTTGCAAAGACTTTTTAAGCCTCGAATGGGCCACTGCTTCGGATATAACTATAATCAAATTATTGGACAAACAACTAGCTTTTTTTGGTCATAAGACAAACAACTAGCTTAGTAGATATGAAATTGGATTAATATCAGTATTTGGGTTGGCTTTATCGGGTCGGGTTGATAACGGGTGAACCCGTTAAGCACCCGTTATCTTAACGGGTCGTTTCAGTATAATTCGCGAATGACCCGTTAACCCGTTAAGAGAAGGGTATTTTTGTAAATATACGTTATCAAATAAAATCCCTAGCTAACCTAACTATCTTCTCTTTGCTTCTTTTCTCCCATCTTCCGCCGCCTCCTCACTCACTGACTTAAACAGACCCAACTTACTTTCTCACTCTCAAGTTCTAAACTCTTTTGTTCTCCCTAGATCTTCTCACCAACCAAACAACAGGCTACCTTCATCTTCTCTTTAGATATTCTCTCCAACTAAAGGTATGAACTTCCCTGTATTTAATTTTTGTTGTGTTCAAATTTTATTTAATTTTTTTTTTGTGTTGTCTTCCTTTTTCTCTGGTTTTGGTCTGTTTGTGTGTGTATTCTTTATTTGTTTTACTGGCAGTTGGGACAAGGGGGTCATGTGGCACCTGCAAACCAGAAACCACAGCTTGGGGAGAAGAATTTTGACCCCTGAAATGAGACAGAGGGAGAGATGGAGAGAGGAAGAAGAAGAAAGAAAAAAAATTGAAAAAGAGAGAGATAGAGGGATTGATGTAGACATGGGAAGTTTTGTCAGACTTTGATATATGCTGTTGGTAAACATGAAGATAGTTTTTTGTTTTTTGTTTTTGCTTTTGTATGGTTTTCTTTTGCAGCAGATCGAAGATACAGAGACTACCAATGGTATGGGAATCATGGATGAGGAGTTTGTTGAAGTTTCAATGGATGGTGTTTCATATACTGAAAATGCATAAGGATTTCAGCTTTATTTGTATTATATCTCTAATTTGAGGTGTTTTTATTTAATAATTCCAGCAAAAATATTGTTTATTTTTTAAATGGGTGAAACGGGTTAAGCGGGTGAAACGGGTGAAAAACGACCCATTAGTCATAACGGGTCGTGTCGTGTTATTCGCGAATATGTGCGGGTCGTGTTTGGGTTTAGTATTTCTGACCCGTTAGCTTAACGGGTCGTGTTCGTGTCAACCCGTTAAGAAAACGGGTTGACCCGTTAACGACCCGGAACCCGTTAAAACGACCCGTTTGCCAGCTCTAATCATAGGTGGGTCATAAGACAAACAACTAGCTTAGTAGATATGAAATTGGATTTTGTACAGATATTTTCTTTTTTGAGTAATATTGTATTTGTGTTATGAAAAATTACGACATTGTTTTAGGGCTCTAGTTATAGGACTAAATGTAGTCTAGGGCTATCATTTTAGCCCTCCAAAATGTTAATTTGGTAAAGAATAGTACAGCGCTAAATTTTTCCATCCAGCCATGCAGAGCTATATTTTAGGGCCCTCTATATTTTATTAAAATTACTATTTATAGACATTTTTCCAACAACGTGAATAACAAAAGAAGTAAAGAGAATAAATTTGTAGGAAATGTTTGAATGAAATGAGTATGGAATATTTAACAAAATCAAAAAAGAGTGTGGAAAGTTGTGAATAAGTAGAGAATGTGATAGAATTTGTAAGAAATGTGGAATGAAATTAGTGTGAAACTTTGAAGTATTTATAGAGATATTTTTGAAGTTTTTTTTAAAAAAAAATTTAAAAAGCCAAACGGAAATTTTGGAAAAAAAAAAAAGAGAGTTAACGTTTCAAATAGTTCTGATATATATTTAAATTTTGAATACATTTAAAAGTTAAAAGAAAATATATATATATATATATATATTTGGCCTAGGCTATAACTGGGTTACAAGTGCCCTAGGAGGAGGGATAAATGGCTAAATGTGGCCCTCCAAATTTGGTCAAATTATTTTTTAGCCCATGACTAGAGATGAATTTTGCATATTTTGAGGGCCACATTAGGCCTATTTAGGATATTTAGGTTTAATATTAAGGTGTATATTAAAGTAATGACTGAAAATTCTTAATAATCTGGTTACATTTAGTGAGTTAGGCGAATTTGTTTTTAACAAGATGATAATCTAAATTACTCTATTGTATGGGGAGATCGAGCTTGTGTAATTTGCCTAAATCAATTTATCTAACCCAAATCTATGAGGTACTAATATTCTGTTCGTCCTAATGTGATCCAAATTAAATCTCCAAGTCCCCAAATAAATTTGTGTGCCTCCGTCTCAGATTAACATATTCCTTAAGGTGCCGACACACAAATCCTCCTTTTGATTAAAAAATAATCAGCTACATTCGAACACGAGCATCAATTTAATTAAGGTTCTTGCAATTTTTATATGTACTTATGCATTATCTAAAACTGACAAGAGAAGAAGGAGATATTACGTTATCTTCTTTGATTTTCTTGTATTTGTTATATGTCTGGGCGTGCATTAAGCACTTTGTGTTTATGATCATTCTGCAAGTTGCATGAGTGATTTTTTAGTCTTTCTTTTTTAACAAATTGCTTGAAAAGATGATTATTATAAGGAAACCATTCATTGATCTGATATGTGGATATACATAAGCTGCGGATTTTCATGTAGTGCATGCATTGTATGATTTGGTTTACTGAGTGAAGTTAATTAACATAATCAGAAGAAGAAGTACAGAAGAAACTAGTTTATTTTCGTTCACTATTGACCAACTTTCAGATTTTAAAATTAACGTGAAAGCATATGAGACCGTTCAATCTGTCGCATAAATAATATGCTCTAACATGAGACCATGTTAGTTTTTCTTGTACTTAGTATTATCGCATATGCCAAGATTTCCTTTCCATTTTTTTTTTTAAAGTAAGTATATCTTATACAAAATATCATAATATTTTCCTTCTGAAAAACCCCCACGTTTTTTTTTCCTAACAATTCCGTTCAACGTGGAATATTAGAATCATGTATATATATATGGGGATGGACCCTAGTAAAATCTACTTGAGACTATATTAAACTATATTAGTGTTCAATGGGTCAAAAAGTTTTTTTTTACAAATAAAAAGGTTAGCTTTGATTAAACGAAAAAAAGAGAGTAATGCTAGCTACAAATTGTACCGACAAACAAGTGCCCATTGACCATTGTGCTCTATTATTTCACTTGAAACCGAAGAAATTAAGAAACCAGTGTCTAGAAATATGTTGAATTTGAAAAAAGTAAGTTCCTTTGTGTCACGTCAAGTTATACTTTAACTCTAGAAATAAATTTATAACATAGGATAAATATGATATATATATTTTTTAGATTTATGTATATGAGGGCGGATCCATGACACTGTGTTTTTTACACAAATTTTGAACCATTAGATTTAAGCATTATTAATGGATTTATTATTATCTTTCTAATGATACATTTATTCAAATTATTATTGTTTTAATCTAATAATTATGAATTGCACAGTACCCCAAATTTATATATAGTTATTCTCTTATTTGAATGTCCACACGTTATTATCGTGTAGATGCAATTGTAAATATGCAGGAAAGCAGAGAGGTGTAGTACAAAATACATGGCGTCTGCACGATAATAACGTTCGGATGTCTACAGCATAATAACGTTTGGATGTCCACAGCACGATAATTATATATATACAATCATCTTCTATTGAGGGACGCCATTTAGGGTATCCTACAAATTTTTTAGACAAATTAGAAACTGTTGAGGCATCTAATTGTATTCTACAAAATCAATAAATACGGTGCTTCAAGAAAGTACTAAAATTTCAATAATTTAATTGAGAGGTCAAATGATATTAGATTCAAGTGATTTTTTTTGTAGAGATGATCTTTGAATAAATATATATCAAATAGACGGTTTGGATTAGTGAAATACAATGTGGAGTGTCCTTCAAATAAGTTTATTTGAGAGATCCTATAATAAAAGCTCTCTATCTATATATAATATAAGTAACTATAAAGTAAACTATAGTAACTCAAGATATGTTGGTTTTAATGCAACCAATGTTTTAACTTCGAACCAAAAAAAAAATCCATGTTCTAACTTCTCAGGAAAAGACACACCCATAAAATTCAAAACCTATTGAAGTTTAGAACCAAAAGCTACTTAATTAAATCTTGATTTAGGGCAGACAATATAGAACCAGTCTGCAGGTTTAGTTGTGGCATACCATGCAGAAATATATATATATATATATATATATATATATATATATATATATATATATATATATATATATATATATATATATATATATATATATATATATATATATATATATATATATATATATATATATATATATATATATATATATATATATATATATATATATATATATATATATATATATATATATATATATATATATATATATATATATATATATATATATATATATATATATATATATATATATATATATATATATATATATATATATATATATATATATATATATATATATATATATATATATATATATATATATATATATATATATATATATATATATATATATATATATATATATATATATATATATATATATATATATATATATATATATATATATATATATATATATATATATATATATATATATATATATATATATATATATATATATATATATATATATATATATATATATATATATATATATATATATATATATATATATATATATATATATATATATATATATATATATATATATATATATATATATATATATATATTCTCCTATGTGGACTTTTAGAGTCTAGACGTTATTATCATTTCCGGAAGTTATTATCTTGTGGACATCATGTATTTTTACTATCCTTCCTATTTTTCTCTCTATTTACAATAATATCCCCATGATAATAATGTGCGGACATCCGAATTATATATAATTTTTTGCATAGGTTTGATAAGAAAAGGAACCCATTTCTTTGAATTGGAATCGCACTTATTGAGTATAATATAGATTTGATTGCACAACAAGTCAAAAGGGCAGATACTTTAGTGTAGAAGAAGTGAGAATTAGGTATATTACCTAGGTGCATTATCGTTACAAGTTTCCGCATATATATCTTGACAAATCAAAATTGGTAGTGGCTTTTGATTTTAAGAAGAAAAAAAGAAGATGATAATGACTAAATCAAAATTGAAACCATTATTAAATGAAGAAAAGCGAATTAATTAATCCAATTGATGTTGAAAATTCTTAGCAAAAGAAAACTGATCCCAGAAACAAATTGTTTTTGTATTATTTTGGGATATTCGGATAGAAAATAAATGAAAATTGAATACAGATTATTGGGCTGCCTCATTGGAGGGTAATACGAGGGACCAATATATATTTAGAAAGAAAGAAATAACGAACGGCGGTCAACTTTGGCAGTCCATGACCAATGTATATATATGATTGCGCATTTTCTTCCTCTGTCTCATCAATCGCATTATTTATTGTTATCATAGTGATAATAATAATTGAAAGAAGGAAACATGAAAATTTAGGATGAGGAAGCAGCATGAAAAATCATTGGATGTGCCAATAATAGTATAAATTATTCTAAATTAATTTAATTTTCATAAATAGAGACTTGGATGTAAAAGGGCAGGTTCAGTGCCCTGACTTAACCCACTCGTGATATTAGGCTTTTAAGAGTGTATCACATAGTAAAATGAAAACGTTTAAATTTTTTTTGAACTTCTTCATTCGTTGTCAATTAATTTTGAGTATGATGTTCAAATTGAATATTAGCGTTTAAAATCACGTGAAATGAAATTCACTCAAATTATAACTTGCCATAAATTCCGTAGCACCACAAAAAGGATAGGTCAGATGATGTTAACATTTCATGACTGAAAATTTTATCTCAAAGTTTATCGAGCTAGCAAGAAGAGTGGTTGGTTGTGAAGTCGTTTTTAGTACAGTGAATTGACTGTGTGACACCACGAACCCTTGTCTGTGGTTGACTATTTAGAAGACTGCCTTATCTATAACTCACGCGGCGAATCGGTCTGGTAGTGGCGGAGGAGACTTGGGGGTGGAGTGGAGAAATATTGATCAGAATTAGAGTTTCAAGTAATGCGTGGACTGACGTGGACCACCATGCACGTGTTTCATGCACGTATTTTGTATTTTATGACTGTGGAGAGTGTGCCATTTTGACTAGATTTAGAGTCGAAGTAAAACGACGAACGGAGCTAATTAAAATTCAAAACAAAAAGTTGGGCCTAAAGAAAATGCCATAGACAAGTCATAAGGTTCCAAAACTGTTCTCTTCCCATTTAATTACAAGTTTCATTTGTGTCTGGATGTTATGGTACTCTTTTTCTTTAACTGAATTTTTATCTTCTGAATGTTTTTTATGACAAAGTTTTAACGAGATCACTTTTCGCATCATGTTTGGTACTATTTGTACATTGAAGTTAATTCTTTCTCGATCAAAAAAGATAGAAGGCTAATTAAGGCTCAATGCATTCTGCCATTGTTGTCCGATTCCAAACATAGAAAACAGAAGGGTTATTGCGCTGTCCTTGTCCACAGTTTTCCTAAGATATTTCTTTATTCATGGTGGGCTTGTGTACTTGGAAACTTATGCAAAGCCCAACTTTAAAAGCTTTTTTGCTGGTGGTGAGTTCAGATCTGATTGGATTCTTTCCTACTTTTTGTTCAATAGGAGGATCCAGCCACGTTGCAAAACTTACCTTCCAAAAGTTGGAGAAAAGCTTTGGCACATAATTGTTGGATTTGATACACCACTACAAAAACACTTTAAAGGCTTTTATCAGAACATAGAAATTCCATCCAACTAGGTAAAGGAAGTTAGCACTGTTATGGTGAAACTGATTGGTAGGTCAAAGAGAAGTTAGCACCTGTCTGGTTCTAAATCTAACTGTGTAGCCAAAAAAAAATCTTAAACCTGCCTAATTCTAATTCAAATTGGTGGGTTAGAGTTAGAATTAGAATCTATTATAGTGCAAATATGAAGCATAACTTAAACAGAAGCAAGCACAATACAGAATTGTCTATGCTAAAGCACTCACAAGAAGTTCAGTAATTTCTGTCAATTATCTACCAGTAAGTTACAGACATTGTACTAGTACTACGAACAAACGAATAGATTCAGAGAGCAACATCAAATTGTTTTGATTGAAGGCAAGCGCAGATCAGAATCGGAAATTCGATTGTGTGCAAGCCACCTCATGTCATCTGTGCAAAGTTTCAAGTACCTCTACCCGATCTTCAAACAGCAACCGATCAACTGCGAGGTCTATGACAACATGTTACATATCTTCCAATGATGTTCTTGATGGGAAGGGGTCCCCTGCTCATAGAAGACAAGGAAAAGATTTGCAAAATGATGAGAAGAGGAAAAATGGGAAAATGAAGAAAATAATGACGGGATATTATAGAAATTGGATTATACTGAGAATAGTAATACTAACCAAACATGGGAGTCAAAGCTGTTGTTGCGGTTGTCACCTAGCACATATACATGGCCTTCAGGCACATACTGCAAATCCCACAGAAGTTTTTAAATGATGTGTTAAGCAACCATTTCAAATTGCAGCCTCAAGAGAAACTAACAATTAACATAAATATCCAAATTATAAATGATGAAAAGGAGCACAGGTTACATAAATCAATATTTGATTGTTCTTTTGCATAAGCAGTTCCTACACATAATTTTGTTCATGAACAGTTCTGCTGAAAAATTGCACATAAAAGGAGCAGTAAATCAAAAGACAAAATAGTCGTAGAGATGGCGCTCACTGTTAAATTTGATACATATGTGGGTGGTTCTGCGATAAAATCTTCCTTCTGCGCAATTCCATTGACATAGAGCCATCCATTACTAACCTGCAAGGAGTTGGAAGAAAGTTGACATCAATGAACCTGATGCATGGTTATTCCAATTGGTTCCTACGAGTTGAATAACATGTAAGAAGATGTAAATAAATATGAAGAAGTCTACCATCTTCTGAAAACAGCCTAATTGCATACTCAATATACCTCAACCAAGTCTCCCCCTTTCGCAACAATCCTCTTTATGAAAACAATCTGTTCCGAGTCTCCAGTTTGCTACAGAAAAAAACAGAGAAAGTAAGGCTTGAGCAAAACTTAAACCATTGTTCCTAGAGACTTGGCCTAGGTAGTATTATACCATGTGAAGTTATGAACAAACCTGTGTTGGATCCGAGAATGTTACAATATCATGCATAGCAGAGTCTCCAGTTTGCTACAGAAAAAAACAGAGAAAGTAAGGCTTGAGCAAAACTTAAACCATTGTTCCTAGAGACTTGGCCTAGGTAGTATTATACCATGTGAAGTTATGAACAAACCTGTGTTGGATCCGAGAATGTTACAATATCATGCATAGCAGGACTTCGAATATAATATGAGGCCTGAAAATGTTATCAAGTAACCACAGTGTTAATCAAAACTAGAAGTGGAAACAAACGATAGCTTGAAGTAACCACAGTGTTAATGCGAGTGCTAATAACAATCATAAGCTAGAAACAAAGACTATTATTGAATGAAAAAGGGCAGAACAGAGTTTCTCATTACTCTAAACATAAATATTTAACCAACTGGATTGCAGAGCTTTTTTAAGATTGAAAATTAATTATAGCTTCAAGTGGTACTGGTATGAACTAAGTCATGCCCCAGTGAATTCATCATTGCAGCATTTGGGGTAACTATACAGAGTGGAAAGTCACAAGTTCAAAATGGTGGGTTTTCAGAGAACTAGCTAAGGAAATTCATGATTTGTCTGTATATCAGATGAAATTTTGTTGGATTTCCACTCTTCATCCTACTGGTTTTCTAACTTTTGTAAGATAAAAGCTCCAATTACATAAGCAGGCAATTCTTATCGATATCATTCAACGTATACTTTTTGCTGCTTGATTATAACAGCTTAACAAGTACTTACGAAAAGTAAAATTAAGAAAGAAGAAAACCAGAAACAATGTCGGAGATCGATCAATCACGATAAAGATATAAAAAAAAAAGAGTAATAGCATAATTCTATGCAACATAAAAGCTCCAATTCCATCAAAAGGCAATACACTGAACCCAAAAGTTGCTCCTATCCCCGACACATTGACGGTAACAAAAAATAGTTCCATCCATAAAATGCAAGAAAACAGTGTGAGTACCATTTGTTCAATTATGAAAAAAGAAAAAGAAATCAACTTTCAATACGGTCCCTGAGCTGAAATAATCATTGGTCAGCTACTACAATATTGTTAAAGGAAAAGAATAAATAATGTGGCTAGTCAAACAACAATAGTAGTGGGAATTTATCCTGATTCACATAGAATCACAAGGTCACCCTTTGAAACAGTAAACACGTAGGGATACATGCATTGCAACCAAGATGTTACTTTCCTGGAAACAGGCTAAGACTTCAACAAGAAGACTACAGGTTTTAAATATATATATATATATATATATAAAGAAAGGTAAATGCATTATCCATTAAAAGAAAAAGGCAAATGCATTTCTTTTGGACAAAGAACACAAAGCAAAGCAAACCATAATCTTTGAAATGGGAACCACTTAAAATAGAGGAAATGTGTGAACTTCTTGCACAGAAACTTTCCAGAAAAAGAAAATAAAAAGGCAAAAAAATAATCCGAAATTCTTACCTTTTCGACAATGACGCGATCACCAACACGAAGAGTCGGGTACATAGAAGAGGAAGGAATGAAGCGAATCTCAGAAAACATAGTCCACAGAAGCACCACCACCAAGAGTCTCAAGAGCCCATCCAGCCCCGGCCATCGCAGAAACTCCCAGCTCTGGCATGGCATCCACCTCAGCGAAGGGAACGCAATGAAGCACTGATACAGAGCGGAGGGCCTCAAGAAGCTCATTTCCAAGATTGATTCCAAGAAGAAGCAAAACAAACCAAAATTCAAAGGAGGACAAAAGGAAAGAGAAGAAATGAGGGTTAGAAATGTGTGGGCCACGGGGTTTTTTGAGGTTCAAGCTTCAAAGGGTTTTAGCAGAAAGGGAAGATATATTGATTGTGAATGTAATCGCCATGGGCATGACTGAGTCTCCGCTTCAAGTTAAAAGACACAGAGAAACAGAGAAACAGAGAAAGGAGGAGAAAATGAGTGGAAATGGGGATATATATATAGCTTTGACCGAATGAGCTTGCTGCCTAAGTTTCTCTCGATGCTGTGGTACAGCTATTTTAGTGAATGTCAGTTACTATTGTTGAATTTTCTTCTATGTGAAACCTCCACTATGTCATGTAGACCAACCACCAATTGTCATCACTCGGCTCCACAACCTAGTCACTCAAAACTCAAATCTTTCGTCTGGGTCTCATGTGTAACCAATGCAAGTACTTTGAATAATAAAATTATAAATAAATAATAAAAAAAATCAGGAGCCCTATACGGTGGTACCAATTACACATTCTCAAATCGGCGATGATATATACCGATGCTTTACATTTTCTTCAAATTATATCGATAATCTCAATCACGGTATATATACTATAGTTAGAATTAAAAGAAAGCAAGTAGTATGTGTAAGTAGCAATAATACTCGAGGCATTAACTTATGATACGAAATTTCACTTACTAATTAATGTGATAATTTCTTATTTGTTATGTATAACCACGGTGAACAATTATCGACCCCAAAAAAAAAAAAAACCATGGTGAACAATTGTGTTGTGTATTTGCAATATATGACTAGGTGTCAAACTATAAGGTTGTGGTTTTCTTTATTTATTTATTTTGGTCGAATTGTGGGTTTTCTGTTGATAAGGAAATCCAAACAAACAGACAACATTATAACTCTTGTACAAGGCGCCAACCAAAAAGTGGGCCCACCCAAGAAAATAACTTCCATATCCAACGTCTCCTAGATTGCCACGTGCTGTGATCCACTCCTCTCTCCACAATCACGTTATCTCCAACCCCTCAGTAGGAAGAACTCGGACGACAATCCACAGAAACAACAAGAAGACTCTCTCACTCACTCACTCACTGAGTCAGACACTGAACCAGAGAAACAATCAAAGCAAAAACCATGAAACGCGTATCGGTTTTCTGTTTTCTCCTCCATTTTCTGGCGCTGCGATTCTGTGCAGCGGCTGACCATGACGCCTCCAGCATCGTCTTCAGAACGCTCGGCAGATTAGATTACTACTTCGACATCTTCACTCTCCCGATTCAGGGGGGCCTACCTTCCGCAGCCACCGAGACCCGAATCACAGATGCAAAATCCGTCAATTTCAACGGCCACTTCCCCAACCTAACCCGAATCCAATCCCATACCCGACCCGACCCATCACTCCAGCTCATCTATGTCACCGAAAGAAACGGCTTTTCCAACATATACTACGACGCCGTTTATCTCACTTCGCCGACGACGAGCGGCGGGAGAAGGTCCGCTCTCGAAGTCTCGGACCGGGTTCAGGTCCCGCTATTGAGCTTGGAGCAGGGCCAGAATCGTCTTTCTATGAAGGACCGGCCGAGCTTGGCCGGAGATTACTTGGTTTACGTCTCGACTCACGAGGACTCGGGCGTGCCGAGGACGAGTTCGGCCGCGGGGTACTCGACTCACATCAACTCGGACATCTACGTCTTTCTGACTAGGGACGGGACTCAGAGAGTCAAGGTGGTCGAACACGGTGGGTGGCCGAGTTGGGTCGACGAGTCAACCATTTACTTCCACAGAAGAGGCGAGGATCAGTGGTGGAGTATTTACAGGGCTATTTTGCGGAGAGAGGGACCGAGTTCGACTGAGTCGGTGGTGGTTCAGCGAGTCACGCCGCCGGGTCTCCACGCGTTCACACCCGCCACATCACCGGGGAACCGGGAGTTCATCGCCGTGGCCACCAGAAGACCCACCTCGAGCTTTCGCCACGTGGAGCTCTTCGACTTGGTGAGGAACGAGTTCAAGGAGCTGACCAGGCTCGTCTCGCCCCAAACCCACCACTTCAACCCGTTCATATCGCCCGATTCGAGTCGGGTCGGGTATCACAAGTGCAGAGTGAACGGAAACGGAGAAGAAAGCCCCAAGCTTTTTCTTCAGAACATCGACAGTCCAATCCCTAACCTCTCGATCTTGAGAATTGACGGTTCGTTCCCTTCGTTTTCACCCGCCGGTGATCTTATCGCTTACGTGAACTTCCCGGGTGTTTATGTTGTGAACCTGGACGGTTCGAACCGGCGCCATGTGTACCCTGGAGCTGCCTTCTCAACAGCGTGGGACCCGGTGCGTAAAGGCGTCTTATACACTGGGGCTGGACCTGATTTTGCACCCGAGAGTTCTGAGGTTGATATCATCTCCATCACCGTTGATGACGTTGACCCAGCGAGCTTTAAGAAGTTGACCACTAATGGGAAAAATAATGCTTTTCCTTCACCCTCTCCGGACGGAAAACGAATCGTGTTTCGCTCGGGTCTGTCGGGTCATAAGAACTTGTATATCATGGACGCCGAGGATGGGGAAAGTAGTGGGCTCCACCGACTGACGGAGGGTATGTGGACGGACACAATGTGTAATTGGTCTCCTGATGGGGAATGGATTGCATTTGCATCGGACCGAGACAACCCAGGTAGCGGGAGCTTTGAGTTGTATGTGATCCACCCGAATGGAACCGGGTTGAGGAAAGTGATCCAAAGTGGATCAGGCGGTCGCACCAACCACCCTTGGTTCAGCCCGGATGGGAAAAGCCTAGTTTTTACTTCGGACTATGGGGCTATATCAGCTGAGCCCATCTCAAACCCACATCACTATCAGCCTTACGGTGAGATCTTCACAATTAACTTGGACGGCTCTGATCTTAGGAGGTTGACACAAAATTCTTATGAGGATGGGACCCCTGTGTGGATCCCTCATTTCATTAAGCCCACTGATGTTCAGTGGCCAATTGAGAGGCCTGGCTGTGAGTTTGAGGACTTGCAGTGGCTCAGTAAGATGGGACCAAGTTATGGTGTTGGGGCTGCTGCATCTTGGGTCTTAAACAAGCCTCAATGTGGTGTGTAGATGTTTTGGTTTTCTGTACTAGATGTGCATATATATCCTGGATATACCACGGTAACTTTTCCATGTAAAAAGTAAAAACTTATATATGTAAAGCCACAAACTCTATGTATTTCTCACTAATCATCATTAGTTTATGCTCGTGGTGATTGTTAAAGTAAGGCATATATTTTCTGATCCATTAAAGATCTCATGATTCGTGACAATAAAAGTAGAAGGTATGTGTGTATATACACATGTGCCGTAAAGGTAGAGGTATATACAATATAGAGTTATGTTAGGAGCAGTCGCCCACTCGCACCATAACAATAAATTGTCACTAGTAAGTATGGTGCATTTCAACTTTGGGGTCCAAAGGAGTGGTATGAATTGAACTGATTGACCAGGACTGGTAGCCTTCCATTATCTGAGGTTTCTCAGAAGCCATCTCCATTTTCAAACATGCCTTCAACTCATCATAGACATAGCTGATGTCTGGCCTCTGGATTGCTATTGATGGTATGCAAGCCATTGCCACTTCTATGGCTCTCCAGGCAGAATTTATGTCATAGCTTTCTAATCTTGGATCAACTATATCTCCAATGCCCTTTCTTTGAACATGGGGACCCACCCAATCACATAACTCTATCACTGGAGGGCCTTTTATTATTGCAGGCAGGCCAGTTATCAGCTCCAACAGAACAATCCCAAAGCTATAAACATCACTCTTCCTATTCAGCTTCCCAGTATGGTAATATCTGGACAGAAAATTGATTGCAGTTCGATGTAAAAAACAATCCCAAAAGCCATAAAATTGATAGCTATAAAAAAGACAGTGGGTTTCTAGCTCATTTAGTTGGTAAATCTGTCAAGACTTACTAAGGATCAACGTATCCGCGAGTACCCTTAGCATCGGTTGATATATGAGTCTCGTTTTCAGTTGTGAAGACTCTGCAGAGCCCAAAATCGCCTATCTTGGCTTGCAAGTCTTCACTTAGTAAGATGTTGGAAGTCTTGAGATCTCTGTGGACTATTGGTGGCTTGCAACAATTATGCAGATAATCCAATACTGCATTTGTAGTTTGCCATCAGTTGCTTGCTTTTGGGGCATGTAAAGACAAAAGATTTACAAATCAGTTAAGATCAACCACCTCGTGCTGCATCCACTGCGATTTCAAGTCTTTCTTTCCAGGTTAAAACGTTTGTGCTTCTATCTGTTACAAAGATGTGACATATTTTCATTGACAAATCGGAGTTTAAAAAGTTCTATCATGCAATAATGCAGAGGCAGTTCACTGGTTATGTTGATGAATAAGCCGCATGACCCTGATAGCAGAATATGTAATCACCTGCTAATAGATGCTGTTGCAAATTTCCACAGGCCATATATTCGTAAACGAGTGCCATTTTTCCACCTTCGTTGCAGTATCCAAAAAGAGAAACCAAGTTCTTGTGATGAATTCCCAATAAGAGCTCCACCTGCAATTGAATTTAGTGACCAAGTATAACAACATGAAATTTTGTTTAGAAGCACTTCATATGGTTTATATCTGAAGATTCTCTAGCATGCAACAATTTGGCTAGTTTGTATCTACCTCATTTTGAAATTCGTCGGATCCTTGTCTTGATGATGAAGAAAGCACCTTGACTGCAACTTCAATTCCATGTTTTAGGCTGCCGTGGTAGACTCTTCCAAATCCACCTTCTCCAATAACAGATTTGAAGTTATTGGTGATATTCACAATCTCAGAGTATGTAAATCTCCAATTCTTTGCTTTCAGTGACCATTCTCTTCTCGTCCCTACAATAAAGATCATCATAAAGGAAACATACACAATTCATTGAGAAGGGTTGAGATTTTCATGAGGATGTAGAATCTATTTTCCAAGATGCAACTTTTTGCCTGCAAGATTCATTCCTTAGAAAGTGCAGATTGCAAAGACAAATTAGCAAATTTTCACCTAAACATGCATTTTGCAGTTCTATTCTTTCTCATAATCTTTAAGAAAAAGAAAATCTTAAGCACCGGGATCTCAAATAAATGTTGACATCATGAGAAATGCATCAAGAAAATACCTTTTCTTTTCTTTTCACAGATCCAATAGATTGCTAGAGCACATAGTATTATGAAGACCACAACAGATACAGTTGGTGCAACAATGGCAACAACCTTCCTGTTTTTTCCTTTGCATGAACCCGCCAAACAAAGATCTGGATTTCCATCCAAACTAGCATGAAGCAGAAAATAGTAACTTTTCAAAGCATATTGTTAGGTCAGGATATAACTGCATTGAATATTTCTAAGGAAGGCATACTTTAATGTTAATCCTCCGCTATTGCGCTTTTCCATAAGAGCCTTGGGAACTGCTTCTTCAAGCTGGTTCCCCATTAAATTGCTGCAAGATGGCATAAAAGTCATTAGAATCTTCAACCAAAAGGCTCACAATATTGCAGCTGAAAACTTACAGGACTCTCAAGTATGGCAGTTGAGCTAGAAATTCTGGAATTGGACCTGTCAATTGATTGTGTGATAGATCCCTGAAACAAACGACAACATTTGTAAATAGGATAAGTCATTTTTGTAAAAGAACTTAAAATAAGTATGCCGAAAACTGAGGAGCACCCCAAGTGGTTGGTATAAAGAAACAAAAATATGTATGAGGAGACTTATAATTCTGAAAGAAAATAAGACTTTGTTAAATTAATTTGTATAGTAGTTTAGGCAGAGGCAATTCATTATTCAAGCCTCAAAGCTTTTTTATTGCCCTGCACTATTTTAAAAACAGAAAAAATGTGTTATACTTGCAAAGATTCTATCATTCTGAGGTTGGAGAATGAAACAGCTATATTTCCTGTCAATTCTCTTGAACTAAGGTTCCTGCTTATATAGTTGCCCAAGTTAGAAAAGGCAACAAAAAAAATAAAAAAAATTACATATTCTAACATATTTTGGGTATTTTAAGGAGAACACTCACAAAGAAATGATATTTGGAGGACTGATGGAGCTGCAATTCAAAATGTTCCATGAAGAAGGAAAACATGGATCGCCCTGCCACTCTCCAATTATGCCGTATGTGTTTATAATGTTTATGATAGCATCCACTGTGATCTCGTTCAAAAGTCAAAGGAGACCAAGAGATGGACATGAGGATGCAAAATGGAGAAATTAAGGGTAACACTTATGTTGGATAAGGCTGAAAAATTAGCTATCATGGCAGTCTGACATTTCTTCACCATATATAACAAACAAGAACAAAAAGCAGTAAGTAACCAGCACAGTAAATAAGAAAACTTGACTGTTAAATGTACCGTCTTTCTCGATTGTTGGCAAGCGATAAAAGTCTTTGTGCTGGTAAATTTCATAGGCGTTAAGGATTGGAGGAAGGCCACTGTCCACACTAGAAATAGAGAAGTTATATGTTGTCTCCCCAGTAAGAGCAAAACTGGCAACAGTTTGTGTCTTTAGATAGTCCAGAGTAAGAGTTTCCAAGTTATAAAAATCATTGAAACGGATATTGAGTGTTCTTTGTTTCCCACCCTCAAGCTTTTCTATTTCAGCAAAATGAAAGTAAACATAAAATTTTGAAATTGTGAACTTGGATTGCCATGAGACGTATATGGGGCCACTGACACACTTGACAGCAGTTCCTAACACTTTGTCTGGTACTTTGTAGCCATTGTTGCTGGTCTCAATTGTCAAGTTGGGTGCCAATGTCACTGGGATCCATTCATTTTTCTGGTCATGATTCCATTTGCGATCATATATATCGTCGGGGTACCTGATAAAGAAATAAGATCCTCTACTTATACCATGTTACCAAGTAAACTGTAACACACTATTGCTTACTCGAATACCAAATTACATAAATGTTTCCAGGGCTATAACTAGCTAGCTCACCTGATTATCTTATTCGAGCCACCAAGGTTGATTCGCGAAGTCAAGGCCAGTGCTCCATTACCTGATTGGTAGAGGGAGTTGTCCAATTGCCTAACTTCCAGTGCAGAAATATATGGTGTTCCATTGTTTTTGTTCACAAGGCACACTTGTATGGCATCTGTCAAGGGAGCATATATGATCTCATGTACAACATATGAGTCTTTCACCGTTATCCATGAATTAACCCCAAGATACAATTGGAACACTGGAGTTTGATTTTTGCCATCATAGTTTCCATACATGAACACAGCTCTGATGAGATAGTTGTTTGATCTGCCTTGCTCAGGCTTCAAGGTGTAGCAATTCTGTTCTCCTTCTGGGAAATATCTCAAGGTCCTCAGCTCCATGTTAAGGCTTGAGTTGATGAACTCTGAGGATATCTGTGAATTCACTCCAGCACTTATAAACCCTGTATCTGTCTGGTAAAACATGTTGGAGTCATCATAGTTCTGCAGAGTTGCGCCACAGTCTACACTTATGAAACCTTGAAATTGTTGTACAAAGGGTGTTAAAAATACCAGTTAATATGAAACAGATACAAACAAAGATGCATAAATTACTGGAAAACAATCCTTTAAGCTTGTGAATAGTTTAGTCATGTGTACCAGGAATAGTAGAAGCAAGCTTTCTTTTTTGGTCATGGTGACTAAGACCCCTCCCAGAAGGGGTGATAGGAGGAATGTTGAAGGCCAGCCACACCCAAAACACCATAACCAATGCAGCCATGTCCACTTTCTTACCTGAATATGGACTGAACCAGTCTATAACTCTCACTGGAGTTAAAGTTGTACATATATTTTGATTTGTCAATGTCTTTATACTAGAAATTGAATGCAATATTTGGCTTTTCCCGTTTGTTTACTTTTTTCGGTCAGCTCTCAAATTTCTTTTCTTACAAGGTAAGCAGCTGTATCTTTCACTGCTAATAACTTTTTTATTATTTTATTTTATTATTATTTTGACAAAAAACAAAACTTTTTATTTTATTGTAGGGGAAATTCTGATCAATTAAACTAAATGAAAAACCTTTGGACTCAGTCCTGTGAGGTACAAAGAAAATTGAAAAAAGCTAAATTAATCCTTAATAGAGAAAAGCAATATGTTAGAATTGTTCAATCCATCCCATTAACAGTACATCTCACATAATTTTTCATTAGGCTAGTAATTTTTAAAACTTCTCTTTTAGCCTCTTTCACTACACATGTGATGTACTTGCATTTACAAATTTTACAATACTCAATAGTTTTGCTTTTAAATAACTTATAACCTAATGAGTGTGGCACTCTTTTTCTTCGACTGGATTTCCCCTTTTGGGGTTTTTATGACGAGGTTTTATTGACGCCACTCTTAGGGCTCCCCTGGTCTCTTTTTTGTTAAGACAATCATTAATGGTGTTTGTAATCTTTGTTCCAAAGTTTCAATGAATTTCTCTCTTAACTTAAAACTATTTATGGAGAAACTTTTCAGTGTGACCGTAACTCCACCTAAAAAAGTTGGTTGTAGATTTACAACAATGACATCATCATAGACATGAAAAACAACTTAAAATCTTACATGGAGAGACAAGGAAATGGAAATGGTCCATGTATTTACCGTGCATAGTGTGACTCTGTCGTACCTAGACAAGCACACGATACATAATCCTTACTCAGGTGAAAGCTACGTAACTCTTTTTCTTTTAAATCCAAGATTTGACTGGACAAGGAACAGTCACAAAAATGTTCACTTCCAATCAACGTAATGTAGTTTGTAAATTATATTTCAGACGAGGCTCGCCTAATGAACCTTTCTTGAATGAACCCTACCCTAAAATCAGCCCCAAAATAGTTTTCACTTTCAATCAACGTAAGTCTTTAATTTTTTATTTTTGTTTGGGGTCCAATTGTTGGACTTTTATCTAAGTCTTCTTGGATTTCCTTTTTTCTTTTTGTCTTTTTTTTTTGTTGTCTTTTTGTCTTTTTTTCTCGTGTGGCTCCATCAAGAAGTTAATTGTGGGATAAAACTCCAATAGCAAGAACATGAGCTTTTGTTCACTAAAACACTACGGTCAGCACTAGGGCCCAACGCGCACAAAACTATTGGCATGCTGAAGATACAAAACCAAATAAATAAATAAAGGAGGGAAAAAAAATTTACAATGTAGGAAAAAAGCTGCTACAAGTTAAGTCACCAGAAGTTCATCCAACAGAACATTGGAAGAGTAATGTAAATGTTTAGTGCCCTTAAGTTTGGTACTCTGAAGGTATTGTTGGCGGGCAGTACTTCTTCGCGACATGTTTATACTGAGGCAGAATTCAACAAAAACAAATGTCACTTTTAGGCTACTCATACTTTTGTGCACAAAGTTGGCATGATGTGTGGGAAAGAAAACTTTGTGAAATTTTTCTTACCTTATGCTGACTGTATTTCTCCCTGATAGCAGGTAAACTAGAACTCTGGCTGTTACTACAAAGGCGATGGAGATCCTTGACACAGTCACGCAAATCCGACGGCTGATAAAGCGTGTAATGCTGCAATGTGGCATTCTGGTTCCGAAACCAACAGAAAAAAACGGAAAAGAATGGATGAGTAAGTAAGCCTGTATAACAAGGAAGTGTTATCACAAGTGTGATTGTGATTTGCAGGACACATACCCATGGTCTCTTTGAAGGAAGAAGTATAAAGTTGGCCAGGAAAATTGCAGAAGCAGCTACAAGTGATGGAGCATAACAAAGCATGCTGTACTCTAGAAGAGATAATTCTGCAAGGTAGTTTGCTAAGCACTCCAAATGCATTGATATACCCTGGTATAGAAAACAAAATCACCACAAAGAACAAAGTTATTTTCAGGGTGGAGATTGTGACACTGAATTGTTTCTGGCTGTTTAATTACGACACCATTCGCTATCAGTACATAATTATGAACATCAGAGGAAGTTTTTTTTTTTTTTTATACATCTTCTGTTTCAAAGTGATTCCTTAATACACAAATTTATTTGGTCAGAACCTCTATTTATTTATGTTCAGGGCAGTATTTAATCAGTCATGTGTACAACAAGGAACATAAGTAAACCAACGGACTGGGCATTCAAAGGTTCCAAAAAGATACCTCATTGGCCCCTTGAGCAGCACGCACGAATCGCCTACAGTTCAGATCAATGTATCATAGGTTAACACCAGTTCAATATGTGTAAAGCAAAAGTTGATAAATATAAGCTAGTCATCACCTTAAAAAGCATTTAGTTGTGGGGGCTGTCATTTCAAACTTCAAGTAATTCAAAACATCAGATTCCATTTGCAACACCTGCAGCATTTAAAAGTTTAAGTTAATGCGGCTTAGAAGGAAACAAGTAACTTGAGGAAAAATCTACCACAGTTCAGCCAAAGTAAGGTAAAACCAACCTCTTCCTTGAAATATGTGTTATCAGTAATGTAACAAAACTCTTCCACCTGGGGTGCACATATCTCCTCATATTTTCTGGAAATATAAACCATTTTTCTTGTCAATAATACACTCAGTGAACCAGAGAACAGAAAGGGAGAATAACATAAAACAAATCATATGTAAGTTAACACTCTAGAGATGGGGGCCATAAAAGCTTACGAAGCAATCATCATGCAGGCAACACCAAGTAACTGTAATCGTTGTCTATTCATCGGATTCCCTGAAAGATATCGGTCTATGTAGTTCACAGTCAAATATAATGTATCAGGTACAAGCCTGTATTCTTCAGCCACCTGCAGTTGGAATTGAATTTCAGCCTTCACATGATTACAAGCAAACCCTTGGAAAATTTACAGAAACGATACAATGGAAATCATCTCAGGCCATCCAGAAACATCATTTACCTCCACAAGCCAATCAATTAGTATTGCCCTCATGCTGGGATTTATATCTTTCTGAGTTTTCTCCATGAAATCTGTGGAAGGCCTCTTCTTTACCTGAAATTTATGGTGATTGAGCAAATATCAAACAAGGATAAAGCAAAATGAATATAGTTTTACAGTGTCAGCTAGAACTGAATTTTGACCTGTATCAAGTAGTTTTTTAAAACACATTGTTCTCAATTTGAATATACTAGGAAGTGTAGATATATAGAACAGATCTCAATTTGAATATACTTGGAAGAGATGTCAAACCTCAGATGCACGCAAGTGCTTGTAAATATCACAGGCAATGGTTGCACAAAGCTGAGGATCCATTAAACTGTTATCCAAATCAGCAATTTTATCCTCTGCTTCCAACTCCACAAGTACTTCTCGTTTGCAGGCAATCCCTGCAAGAAAATCAGCAAAAACTATATTCGGAAATGATAAAAAAAAAAGATCTATTGTAGTTCAAGTGGCACGGCCACGGGAAAGTAAAAAATTGATACAATATGCAACCTGTTGTTTCCGCATGGTCTGAAATGTAGAGATTGCTGAATGTCTTCCGGTTAATAGAATCAATTGCTGGAACATCATTGTTGTCTATGTATTCCACTTCCGGACTCTTAAAAGAATCACAACTTGACATTGTCTCATCCATAGAAACTGAGTTTCCATCTGATTTACTTGGAGAAACATCCATGCTGCATGGTCCAGGTAAGGCAAAAGAGCTAGGGACTGCTTCGTCGCTTCTTGGGGCAGGTGTAACCTTCGGATGAACAACTGCACTTGGTTTAACATTGAAGGATGCAGGTAGGCTACTCGCTGAGACGCCTTTGTTACCAGTGCAAGCAGGAGGTCCCTTTTTCACTTTGGCAATCTTATTTGTGCAGGGTACCTTCAGATATTAAATTCAGCTTATTAGAATCTGATACTATGAACAAGTTCTCCTCATATGCATACACAAGGTGTCTAAGACAGTAAAAAATTCAAATTGGGACAGAAAGCAGCAGACATGAATACTTCTGATTCCTATCATTGACAAGCAGACATCCAGTACTTAGAATAGGATGATTAGAAAACCAATGGACCAATAGATAGTTTCTTCTATTGGGTCATAATACAATCAATGTTTCATGTCCAACTCATTTTATATGCTACAATTAGTCAACCCAGTTTACCTCTAATTTCTTATTACACTAAAAGAAACTTTAATATCATTTTCTTGCATTTTCCAACATTTTTTTTCAGAAAAGATCAGAAAATCGGTGAAAAGGGAAACATATATTTTACCACACCAAATTTGAATTACCCAGAAGTCAAAAAAACCAACAAAAGTAACACAACTGAAAGACAGAGTAGGCATAGAAATCAAACAAATAGAAGCAAAGATTCGAACTTTCTGATCTTTCCAGCATTTTCTCTTAAACCAAACACGACAAATACAAAACCAATTTTCACTTACCAGAGTGCATGATGACCCCCCTGAACTCCGTAAACCGTTGTTAGACACACTGTTTCGATTCGTCAGGTTACTGAGAGGCGCTCGCTTCTTGGCCAAGTGCGGCTCAGCTGCCACAACCTTCCCAACATTCCCCGATGCCGACGAAGACGAAGACGAAGACGACAAAGCCTGTCGTTTTGCCAGAGACGACGGAAATGCTGAACGGCGGTTCTGGGTCGACATTTCGGATCAAACCCAATTCAAATTCTGGTCCTGTTTTAACCTTCTTGGCTCAGACCCAAGAAAAAGAGTCGTTCTTGGAGAGAGAGAGAGAGTGAAAGAAAGAGACTTTGAAGTGACTGTCTCTGGTTTTCAGCAGAGAAAGTGTGAGAGAGTTGAGTGATTTAATAATTGGTTAATTATACTTTTTAGGCGGGGAGATTGGATAATTTGAATTGAGAGAAGATCCGGACCGTTGGTTGGGCTCGGTATTCGTTAGGAGCGGACAAGGGTGGGGACCACGTGATTTTTGAACCTTAGACTTTTATTTTTTTGGATGAATCTGATTCGTCCGTTATTTGCGTCGTACGTCACAGGCTGTCAGTTTAAGTTTTTGTTTGCGGTTTTTGAATTCAAATTCAAACGGTCTGCGAGTCTGTCTTTACTCTACGGCAACGTACAAAAATGACCTAACTCGTGAGCATCATACTCGTTCTCGTTTATGGTACATACAGTCATAGTTTCTTTTCATGACGCGGCCATGTAATTCCTATTTTTGTCCGATTTTATTCATTTTGTTGTATGGTCTTAAATTAGATCTATTTAAGGAATAGTATAAAGATCATTATTTTGAAAATCCTTATGATTAATTTATAATTTTGAAAACAACAGGACTCGAAACCGATAGGAAATTATAAGTTTGGATCAATCCATTCAATAATTAATACGATTGATAAAGTCAACTTATTTAAGTTATTGTAACAGGAATCTGACACTCGATTAGATGAGGACACTAGTATGGATGCATGGTTCATAGCAATCATATTAGTTTGACATACACATTCATCATTACATACATGGCTTGGCCTGAAACAAAGAAATCAATGTTGCAAGGGTTTACCAACAGTCGGGCTTCATTTAAGTGAAAAGCTGTAGGCATCAATCTTTCCGGTCTAAGAAAAAAGCATATGAACAAAATGAAGGTAGACTACAAAAGAGAAATGGTTCTATACGTATTTTGATCTTTGAAGTACACTAAAGTATCTAAGCAAGAATGACAATCGCACAAGTTTTACAAGATTCTAACTTCTGGTAAGTTTTCTAGCAAGGAAACAGTGCAGTGAGAAGCCAGCGTCGTGTTGAAATTCATACACAGAGTGCAATAGGGCATTGTGAAATGACTCTTCAAATTGGAACAGTGAGTTATGTGAGCTTCTAGTTGTTTAAATCCTGGAAGAACTCCGTAGGTATTGATGGAGGGCAGTACTTCTTGGCCACGAACTTGTACTAAAGCAGAAAGAAAATGTCTTAGATTGGACGGGGATATTTGAATATGGAATTTTTTTTATTTTTTGTGGAAAGGAATATGGATATAAATTCACTCAAGTTTCACAAATTCCATAACTGATTCTCGGTGAAGAAGTAAACCTCCATAACGGTAATGCAGTAGGCAATTACCAAAAAAAATAACCCCATGCTTCTAATAAGTTATCATTACTTCAAATCATTTTCATGTAACCTCAAGTATTCAGTTTAAACAAAGCACTTCCTTTTTCCTATTTCTCCCTCCCCTATCTCCTGATTGCATGATTTGTAGAAATGCGACAATAAAAGAAATCTAATTTAAACGAAGGTAGAGAATGCAAAGGGGGAAGTGCTATATGCTCCAATTTCTATTTCATCGGAAGAATATAAAAAAAAAAGGAGAGAGAAAGGGGTTCTTCATACCTTATGTTGACAGTACTTCTCCCTAACCGCAGGCAAGTCAGAACTACAACCATTACAACATAGGCGATGCAGTGCTTTGACACAATCAAACAAATCAGCGGCTTGATAAAGTGTGTAGTGTCTCAATGTAGAATTCTGAACCAGAAAATAAAAAATTATATTCCAAAGTTTATTAGACAGGATGGAAATATAAAAATCTGTCAAATATCTAACACATAACATACCCAAGGTTTCTTTGAAGGGGAAAGTATATACTTTGCCAAGAAAGCAGCAGAAGCAGCTATTAGTGACGGGGCATAACAAAGCATGCTATATTCGAGAAGAGACAACTCTGCTATGTAGAAGGCCAAGCACTGGAGCTGCAGCGATGGAACCTAGGAAAAGTTGCAGGTTCAACAACACACCATATCAAGTTTTAGCACCACCACAAGACAAGAAGTCTCAGTACTATCAGAATTTAGTTAAACAAGATGTATGAAACACTAATCCATTATCCTGATGTATAACATTAAATGAAAACAGCAGCCAACACAATCCATTATCCTGCCCAAATCCAAGTCAAATTCAGACTAGGAAGCCACTTCTATTTTTGTTAAAGCATGCTCAGACCTGTTATCAGTGGAGGAAATTAAACAAAAAAAGCAGGCTAGTCCAAGACAGATACCTCACTGGTCTGTTGAGCAACAAAACAAAACCGCCTGAAAAATTGTCATGAACTAGGAATCAATATCCATAGAAACAAAAATAAACGTGCCTGTTTGAGTGATAATAACAAAGCTAGACATCACCTCAAAAAGCACATAGTCGTTGGAGCTGTCATTTGAAACTTCAAGTGATTCAGCACAGAAGATTCCATTTGCAAAACCTGCATCCATTGTATTATTCAGTACTTCGAATCAAAATCAACTGAAACAAGCATATAGAACTGCAGCTAAGATCAAAAGTCAATTCCCTACCTCCTCTTTGACGTATGTATTGTCCGTAATGTAACAGAACTGTTCCACTTCGGGAGCAATAATCTCCTCATATTTACTGGAAAGATTGTCATTCATTTAGTTAAATTGCATCTTGAAATACTTTTATATATTTAGAGAGTCAAACACATCCACATGCCCAAAGAAAAGATGAAGAAAATTAGAATCTTACGCTGCAATCATCATGCAGGCAACACCCAGCAATTGCAATTGTTTCCTATTCAGTGCATTGCCTGAAAGATAACGATCTACATAGTTGATGGTCAGAAAGAGTGTATCTGGTACAAGTCTGAACTCTTCAGCAACCTATAAAATGAAATTACTAGTCAAGATCGATGAGAGTTTTTTTTTAATAATGCAAGGAAAACCCACTGTTCAAGATATGTAATGGTTGTCAAACGGTAAACATAATCCAGATAGTGGGTTGGCGGAGTTTATTGGATTAAAAAACCACCCTGGCAATATCGCCCACCATAACTTACCTCAACTAGCCAATCAATCAGAATTGCGCGCATGCTGGCATTAATGTCTTTCTGGATCCTTTCCATAAAGTCCATGGAGGGCCTTCTATTTGCCTGAAACCGAAATATCGAACAAATCAAATGACACAGAAGTGGATAAAAGGAAGGGAACATGAGATAGTGATGAGCACTTGAATTAGAACAGGGCGGATATAAGATAACTGGATAAGATAGTTGCAGAAAATTTATTGTGCAGTAGACAAATTTGTGCATAAAATTTTAAGAATCTGTATCTAATATAGAGATGGAGTTCAATCAAATTTTGTAAAAGAGTTCACAAGACTGTTGTCCTGCTGCAACCTTCAAAGATTTTCTAGAATGTAGCATACATGTCATTTCTAAACTCCCAAAAAATACTAGCAAATGTTTAGAAAAAGCTTGAAAGACTTTAATACATCATAAGAAGGTAACTATGTGTAAAATGTGTTTATCAGTAATATAAAGGAAGTTCACAAAATTAAAAGCAATATTTATTTATAAGATCATTCATTGGAAGAAATATTTCAAACCTCAGAGTCACGCAAGTGTTTGTATATGTCAGATGCAATGGTTGCACAAAACTGTGGGTCCATAAGATTGTTATCAATATCAACAATTTTATCTGTGGTCTCCATATTGACAAATGTATCTTTCTTCCAGATGTTTCCTGAAATCAAGATTGGAAAATATTATTTTGGAAAGGCCTGAAAAGAAGATTCGCTTGATAAATTCAAGAAGGTTCAACAATGTAGTACGGCTGACAACCAAACTGTTTATGATGTATACCAAGTCTCATTTGACATATTAAATGAGGAAGGATACTGAACTGAAACAAATACTAGAGAGAAACTAGGGGGAAGATATAGTGTGTAAAAGAAGAAACCTTCTTTTCCTGGATAGTCTGAGATGCAGAGGCTTTTAGTTGTCTTCTTCTCAATCGATTTAACTTCTGAAATTTCCTCATTGTCAATATATTCAAATTCTGGACTCTTCAAAGATTCACACGTAGACATGTTCTCATCTAAAGAAACTGAACCACTAACTGATCTGCTTGGAGATCCATCCCTATTTCTGAATGTATGAACTATGCTACTGGGAGCAGGAAGAACAGTAACACTGCTGCTTGGAGAAGGATTAGTGGCAACTATTTCAGTAGTCGGATTCCTTCCTGAAAAGGATGTATCACTGAAAGGAACCACGATGCTTGATTTTGCACTCAAGGATGGAGGAAAGACATTCCCTGACAGGTCAGTATTACTCGCGCAAGTAGACAATTCCTTCGTTGTCTTAGCAATTTTAGTTGCACATGGCACCTTCAAGTATACAGCACAGTTACTCATTTTCTCAAAATATTATCATCAGTACACCTATCTGCCTGGTAATGACTTATCCATGTTAATACAATTTGAAAGATCAAAATGCTTTACTATGGCCATAAATTGAAGGGCAATTTGATGTAACAACTCCACTAACATTTCATGTCAATTGTACTTCACACATTAAATTATTACTTAGCAAAATATACACTTGCATTGTATGTACTAATTCAACTACTTAAGTAACATTATTACTACAAAACATTCAATGTTGTAAAAAGTGAAAGTTCATAATTTATACATTATGTATAAATTATGAAGTGTTATAACATAAAACGCCCATGTGTAATTAGGAAACCATTAACACTAAGACCAGATAATGAAGGCCATGCCAAACATATACTTGCAAAAAGTGAAAATTAGCTTGACGTGCTGTATGAGACTTATGCTGTAAAAATTGAACAAAGATACAGTTAAATTGAAGCTTAATCATTAAAAAGATTAGCATCTTCAGTAACATGATCTGCAGCTTGTCATGATTTGTTTCATTGTAAGATTCTGAATCTTCTTTTCTTTCGAAACTTGTCTGACTCATAAATCAAAGAAATCAACGAAACCCATTTTAGTAAAATATGGAATATCCCCTAATTGCATGGTGAAACTGAAAATTACTTCAATTTAGCCCAATTGTTTGGGTTACGTAAAGGAAAAAGCAGAAAACGAAAACAAGCCAATTCGCGTAAATGAATTCCTATAGTTTCCCAATTGTTTGGGTTACGTAAATAGAAAAATCCATGGTTCAAGAAATCCCCATTTCAAGAATCAAAAGAAAAGAAAGGAGAATAAAGTAACAATCACTATTATAATAATAGCAAAATCCATAAATAGAATATACTAATCAACGTAGCGAAGATGAACAGTACACGAACCAGAGGTTTCGACGAAGCGATGAAGGTCGGTTGACCACTCTGAGAGCCATTTCTTTGGTTCGTGACGTCGGCGAGAGCTGTGCGCTTTTTTGCCACTTGGGCCCTGGTCGCCATGGGCTTCTTGTTCGGCTGACTCGAAACTGAGGGCCTCTTGGCCGAGGACGACGAGGATGATAACGGGGGCGGACGACGGTTTCCGGTCGACATTTTCAGGCCAAACCCTAGGCGAATTGCTCTGCAAGAAAGCCAAGGTAGGTAGTTTAACTTCTAAAAGAAGAAACAGAGCGTAGGTGGGTTTTGCAGAGAGAGAGAGAGAAAGAAGGATTAAGTGGAAGCGCGAAGTTGTACGGATTTAAAAGGCAGAGAGATCGTGACCGCCGATTGATTGTTGGCGGTAGTAGAAGAAATCTGAACCGTCTGTGCTGTGAGGAAATGGTTGTTTGGAAGTGTTAATCCCAGTAATAGATTTTGGGCTCCAATAATGCATGCAAAGTATGTGATTTAATTGAAAAATGGTTTATAGGTCAACCCTTAATCAAAAAGGAAAGTCAAACCTTTTATCATATAAAGGGGGAATTTCATGATCTTATGTCAAAGATTTTGGAAAAAGAGTTCCATACTTGCTTTTGGGTTATATGATCTAATTAACTTTTATTGAGTTCCAATTTTCCTTTTTATGGGCCAAAAGTTACAAATACCAAGTTTTCTATATATGTCAAATTCAGTGTTGCGGTTTGTCATATATGTCAAATTTAGGCTCAATTTCTTCAATATGGCTCTACCGACAAATTTTTGCCGACGAAATTTTGTCGGGAGAGGTCTAATAGACTTGTGGCGACGATATTTCGTCGGAAGAGGTCTTTTAAAAAATAAATAAATATAAACTTAGGATGTTTAGGTTAATTAATTTTTTTTAATTTTATTTTTAGTAATTAAATAATATATTTGACTGATTTAATTAGTTAAATTAGTTATTATTTACGTAGTGAATAATTAGAATTAAATATTTTAATTAACTTCAAAGTAATTAAAAAAGAGAAATACATATTGTAAAATAGTATTGTACTTTATATAAAAAATAAAATAAAAACTGAGTATAGCCGTGCGGCTGTACTATTTTTACATGTAAAATAAGAGGACCCCAGTCATTAGGCGCCACGTGTCAAGACAACTCTTCGTTTTAAAAAAAAAGGATTTTTATCACAAATGGTCCTTCACGTTTACGAAATTATCACGAATGGTCCTTAAGGTTTTTTTGTGACACTAATAGTCCCTAACGTTTGGGTTTTTTTATCACAAATAGTCCCTGCCGTTAAAAAATTCTGTTAAGTGTGACGTGGATGATAAGTAGAGCCCACCTGTCCAATTACATTGTGACATATGGATAAAAAAATAATTAAATAATTTTTTTAATGAAAATTCCTTTTTTTTCTGCAATTTTTCATCCCCTTCCTTACTCCGTCTCTCTCCCCCTCTGCCCTCACTCTCCACCCTTTGCTCTCCATCTCTTCTCCCTGTCCTCTCCTTCTCCCTCTGTTTTTTTCTTTCCCACTGCCACCTGCAAGAAAAAAATATAAGATATACAGTTGCTCTCCACCCTTTGCTCTCCATCTCTTCTCCCTGTCTCCTTCTCCTTCTCACTTTGTTTTTTTCTTTCCCCTTCGCGCCTCCCTCTTTTCACCAACCATTCTATTTCTCCCTCAGTCTCTGGTAGTAACAAATATGTTCATTCCCTCCGCCAATTCTATCGCAACTGCATAATTGAAGGCACAATTGATTTCATTTTCGGAAATGCAGTTGCAGTCTTCCAAAACTGCACAGTAATTGTTCGAAAACCGATTCCCGTTCATAAATTGATGATCACTGCTCAAGGGAGAACAGACCCAAATCAAAACACTGGCATTTTGTTGCAGAACTGTACCATTGTGGCTGCACCAAATTTCAACAAGACCGATAGGCAAAATTTCACAACTTTTTTGGGTAGGCCTTGGAGAAACTATTCAAGGACTATAGTCATGAAGAGCTACTTGGGGGACATGATAAATCCACAAGAGTGGTCAAAGTGGGATTATTATAGAACTGTGGAAACTGTGGAGTACATAGAGTACTTGAATTTTGGACCTGGATCAGATACAAGGCACAGGGTCAAATAGGGAGGCTATAAAAAGAATTGATTACAGCTGGTTTGTTCTTACATGGAGCAGGTGATTAGCTAAAGACAACAGGCATTCCACTTTCTTATGGTTCATAAGGAGAAGGAGACAGGGAGATGGAGAGCAAAGGGTGGAGAGAGACAGAGTAAGGAAGGGGGATGAAAAGTTGCAGAAAAAAAAAATATGGAATTTTCATTAAAAAAATTATTTAATTATTTTTTATCCACATATCACAATGTAATTGGACAGGTGGGCTCTATTTATTTTCCACGTTACACTTAACAGAATTTATAACGGCAGGGACCATTTATGATAAAAAGCCCAAACGTTAAGGACTATTAGTGTCACAAAAAAACCTCAAGGACCATTCGTGATAATTTCGTAAACGTGAAGGATCATTTGTGATAAAAAGCCTAAAAAAAATTAAAATCGCAGAGTATAGCCACGTGGCTGAACTAAATTTTTTCTTTTTTAAAAAAGGAGGACCCTCCAGCGATCAGACGCCACGGCTATACTATTTTTAAGAAAATAAAATAAAATAATACATACCGAAATGAAAAAGGCTAAGATATTACTTAATGACATATATTAAACTAAAAGGGCTAAACTTTAAAATACTATAATTTTGATTACAGCCGCACGGCTATACTATTTTGGAAGAAACACCAATAACACAGAGTATGGCCGGGCGGCTATACTATTTTAACAAAAAAGAAAATAAAAAACCAAGCATGTATAAATGTAAGGATGACCCTCCTTGGGATCAGGCGCCACGTGTCAAAATTAGTATAGCCGCACGGCTATACTATTTTCAAGAAAAAAAAAATCAAATAATACATACCGAAATGAAAAAGGCTAAGATATTACTTAATGACATATATTAAACTAAAGAAGTTGGCCAAAAAACAAAAGTAAAGAAACTAATTTTATATTTTCACAATTAAAAACAAAAAAAAAAACAAAACATCCCTCCCGACGAAATTTCGTCGGGACAAGTCTATGCCGACAAAAATTTGTCGGATTAGACATCTCCCGACGAAAGTTACTTATGCCGACGAAATTTAGTCGGGAGAGATGTTTTAAAAAAAAATGAATATAAACTTAGTATGTTTAGGTTAATTAATCTTTAAGAAATGTATTTTTAGTAATTAAATAATACCATGACTGATCAAATTAGTTAAATTAGTAATTCAATTTTAATTATTATTTCTTTCGTAAGTAATTAGTATCAAATACTGTCATTAACTTCGTGAATTATATTACTTAATAAATAGTAATTCAATTTTTCTATATTTTTTTCCATTAATATTCACTAAGTAAATAATAACTCAAAACATAACTACTAATCCAAGTAATTAAAAAAGAGAGATCCATATTGTGCTACTTAAAAGGGCTAAACTTTAAAATACTATAATTTTGAGTACAGCCGCACGGCTATACTATTTTGGAAGAAACACCAATAACAAAGAGTATGGCCGGGCGGCTATACTATTTTAACAAAAAAGAAAATAAAAAACCAAGCATGTATAAATGTAAGGATGACCCTCCTTGGGATTAGGCGCCACATGTCAAAATTAGTATAGCCGCACCGCTATACTATTTTTAAGAAGAAAAAAAATCAAATAATACATACCGAAATGAAAAAGGCTAAGATATTACTTAATGACATATATTAAACTAAAGAAGTTGGCCAAAAAACAAAAGTAAAGAAACTAATTTTATATTTTCACAATTAAAAACAAAAATAAAAACAAAACATCTCTCCCGACGAAATTTCGTCGGGACAAGTCTATGCCGACAAAAATTTGTCGGATTAGACATCTCCCGACGAAAGTTACTTATGCCGACGAAATTTAGTCGGGAGAGATGTTTTAAAAAAAAATGAATATATATAAACTTAGTACGTTTAGGTTAATCAATCTTTAAGAAATGTATTTTTAGTAATTAAATAATACCATGACTGATCAAATTAGTTAAATTAGTAATTCAATTTTAATTATTATTTCTTTCGTAAGTAATTAGTATCAAATACTGTCATTAACTTCGTGAATTATATTACTTAATAAATAGTAATTCAATTTTTCTATATTTTTTTTTTCCATTAATATTCACTAAGTAAGTAATAACTCAAAACACAACTACTAATCCAAGTAATTAAAAAAGAGAGATCCATATTGTGCTACTTAAAAGGGCTATACTTTAAAATACTATAATTTTGAGTACAGCCGCCCGGCTATACTATTTTGGAAGAAACACCAATAACACAGAGTATGGCCGGGCGGCTATACTATTTTAACAAAAAAGAAAATAAAAAACCAAGCATGTATAAATGTAAGGATGACCCTCCTTGGGATTAGGCGCCACGTGTCAAAGTTAGTATAGCCGCACGGCTATACTATTTTTAAGAAAAAAAATCAAATAATACGTACCGAAATGAAAAAGGCTAAGATATTACTTAATGACATATATTAAACTAAAGAAGTTGGCCAAAAAACAAAAGTAAAGAAACTAATTTTATATTTTCACAATTAAAAACAAAAATAAAAACAAAACATCTCTCCCGACGAAATTTCGTCGGGACAAGTCTATGCCGACAAAAATTTGTCGGATTAGACATCTCCCGACGAAAGTTACTTATGCCGACGAAATTTAGTCGGGAGAGATGTTTTAAAAAAAAATGAATATAAACTTAGTATGTTTAGGTTAATTAATCTTTAAGAAATGTATTTTTAGTAATTAAATAATACCATGACTGATCAAATTAGTTAAATTAGTAATTCAATTTTAATTATTATTTCTTTCGTAAGTAATTAGTATCAAATACTTTCATTGACTTCGTGAATTATATATATATATATTACTTAATAAATAGTAATTCAATTTTTCTATATTTTTTTACATTAATGTTCACTAAGTAAATAATAACTCAAAACACAACTACTAATCCAAGTAATTAAAAAAGAGAGATCCATATTGTGCTACTTAAAAGGGCTAAACTTTAAAATATTATAATTTTGAGTACAGCCGAACGGCTATACTATTTTGGAAGAAACACCAATAGCACAGAGTATGGCCGGGCGGCTAGACTATTTTAACAAAAAAGAAAATAAAAAACCAAGCATGTATAAATGTAAGGATGACCCTCCTTGGGATTAGGCGCCACGTGTCAAAATTAGTATAGCCGCACGGCTATACTATTTTTAAGAAGAAAAAAAAATCAAATAATACATACCGAAATGAAAAAGGCTAAGATATTACTTAATGACATATATTAAACTAAAGAAGTTGGCCAAAAAACAAAAGTAAAGAAACTAATTTTAT